TTAGGAACTGCTTATTGCCCAACCTTTGAAGATTAAACTTACAATCGGATTGTGATCCAGATGTAACACGGTGATGGCCGTAGTGGCATAGGCGGGTGTCGCCTTGGAGTCAACCTCTTGTCCCGGTTCTCCGGCTTCCTGATTAATCTCTAAAACAATGCCGTCACCCTTAACGTGCTGGTAATTAGTTTGGTGGCTACTCGAACGCTCCAAAACGGGAAAAAGTTGGCGAGCTGAATGGGTTACCATGAGGATAGAAGTTATTACTTAGAGGTTAAAGAGAGGTTACCGTGATGTATGGTTGCTCAACTTGGAGGTACAAAGTGGCTGGTGAGGTTGCAGTGGTTGTCCAATTGAGGATTATGGGATGGCACCTAAAAGTAATGGATCGCTTTTTTCAGTATCAGTGGGTTTTTTTTAACAGCCAAAGATCGCACCTCAACGACTCTGTCAAAAAAGCCAGAGAGGTAGATGGGATGACCGGTATCAGGTCCAAACCTCGACATTGGAGTGACTAAGTTGTAAGAAAGTCGAGGAGTGAGTTCCCTGACTTGGTGTACAATATTAAATGCGCTGTACTTTCACAGTCAGGTGCTTGGTGCGAAGTATTTATCTATATAAATGAGTTTCTAGAGGTGAATGTGGGTTTAAGACTTGAAATCGGCGTAAGAACATGGAAGTAAAATCTGTGAATCTGTGAAAATAGGGGAGTTGTTCGAAAGAACCAAATGATCAATATACCTTGTGTAACGTATGAAGTATCAAAACGGTATACGCTTACTTTGGTCTTGGGTATCATGCAGAATTGCTGCTGTGCTTAATTTTCGAGTAGGAAGGAGTTTCACGAAAAATGATGCGAGATAGATTATGCTTCTGTCCGAAAGGAAGAGTATACTGTGCTGTATCTAATGTTGAGCTTTTACAGTGTGTCTTTAAATCGATTGAGGGTGTTACAGGATACACGAAGATTGCAATGTCGGTGTCCATTAGCCGGCGATTCAGCTGGGTCGATGTTGGATTTGTGAGACTAAGGAGTGGGGGACTGAGAAACTTGGTTGATTGAGTCTCATCAAATTGACAAAGTATCGGAGTTCCTGCCCATAGCGAAACAACTGCCAAAAAGGTTAGCGGAAAATTGTTAGGTTAATACGGAAGAACATAGGCGACGTACGAGGCTTGACCCATCAAGTGTTGCATTCGTCAAGTAATAAAAGATTAAAAGATTATGGAAGATCGTGCGTAATTGAAGGTAGCTCGCATCTTGACCTCGTGAAAGGTGAAGACGTCCGGCAGGGGGGTAAGGAGCTAAATCATCGATCTTTTTAGTGGCAAATGAATTCGGCACCAAGTAGGAGGGAAAAACACATATGGTGCACTATGTTTGTTAAATAATTATTGTAATTGGGTTGTTCGAAGATTTCATGACAAATTAACAGTAAGAGTCGCTAGCACGTACATTCGGCTGGTAGAAATTTGGTTTTGTCAGCTTTGAGAGTAGGAAACAGCAGCAATTTGTCAATATTGTTAGGCAATTAGTCGATTTTGTTTGAATTCATCGTTCGCTATTAACTTGAATGATTAAACACTGATGGATCTATCAACAAACATAAAGCAAGAATTGTCGCTAAAGGTTATACTCAAACTTATGGAGTGGATTACGATGAGACCTTTGCGCCAACCGGGAAGCCAGCATCATTTCTTAGTGTCGTGGCCTTTGCCAGTTATCATGGACTTCCTATTGATTTGATGGATACCATTGTGGCCTTTCTCAATAGTAGATTAAAACACCAAATCTTTATGGAACAACCGGAGGGTTACGAAATAGAGGGTGAAGATCTTGTATGTGAATTGTTACAAGCATTATATGGCTTAAAGCAATCTGCACGTGAATGGAACGACGAGTTTAAATCAAAATGTTTGAAAGCGGGGTTTGTTCAATCTGTAGCGGATGAATGTGTTTATATTAGACAAAGATCAGATGAGGTTTGCTTGTTTTATTTGCATGTAGACGACTTAGCTATCACTGGTAACAACATTGATGGATTTAAGAAGGAGATCGGGGTATTTTGGCCAATGGAAGATCTAGGAGTTGCAACCTGTGTAGTGGGAATTCAATTGGTGCGAGCCGGGCCAAATCATTATATTATTGGTCAAGAAGCGATGGCTAGGTCACTTCTAGAACGTTTTGGTATGATGGATTGCAAGCCGGCATCTACACCTTTTCCAGGAGGCACTAAGCTCACAAAATCAACACCTGACAAAGCCAGATCCTTTAGTTTACTGAATTTACCTTATAGAAGTGGGGTAGGTAGCTTAATGTATCTCTCTCAATGTACCAGACCGGATATAACCTATGCGGTAGGTTGCCTGTCACAACATATAGAAAATCCTACATTAAGACATTGGGAAGCTTTTAAACACGTATTACGCTATTTAAGAGGTACATTGGATTATTGCATACA